GAGAAGGAAGGGCTTTGCTGAACCACCACTGAAAGTGCCACTTCAGGCTCACCTGGGGCATCCAGTTGCTTTTGCATCCTGGACGTTACTGCCAGAGCTCACTTCAGTGACAGCAAGAAGGGGATTCACAACCCCCTCCCCAGAGCTGGCGGCTCCCTGTGCCCAGAGCAGCACCCTCCACCCTCCCGCTCCCTCCTCAGCAGCCAGGTTTTGCCTTCCAGGGTGCGGGAAGGCGGCGAGGCACAGCACCGTGTCCATACAATGACAGCTTTCAATAGCTGCATGAGCCTTTGGAGCTCCAGCAACTCCACCCCATTCAAACGACCAGGTGTGAAATGACCCCCATCCCTCTGCTCACTGCTGCTGGACTCGGCGTGCGCCCTGCGCTCCATCCATGAAATTAATATCCCACCATTAACCACAGCAAAGAGCTCTGGTGCCACGAAGCAACAGCAGGAGCCGAAGGAAGGGTTGGTGCACCACTGTTAGCTTGCAAAAACTGGGCCAGCTTGTCTTCAAGCCCCACGTGGTCACTGGACAAGCCAAATGGATAGTCTCGATATCCAAATGGATACACAAAATTAAGGACCGTTTTCATTTTATTCTTTTTTTTTTCCCCCCCCAGTAGATCTGTTTGATTTTGAAGATTTCCTTCAGCATTTCTGTTGGTTTAATCAGCTTTTTTTTTTTTCCTGCATTTGTTTCATTGGTGGTAAATTCGTCAGCCCTAAATAGGTAGACTGATAACAGACCCTGATAATAGTACACGAAGCTATTACATGAAAATCAGGGAATTGAATCATTCACTGGAAAACAGGACTGCTGCTTCCTGAAAGCTTCGTATCCTTTTAAGCTTGCTTTTTTTTTTTGGTGCAAGATGTTCTTGCCCCAGTAATCTTTGCACAGCTCTGCCCTGTTTCTGCGAGCTGAAGAGACCGCGAGCTGGCGCGTAGGCTCAGCCCTCGCTGACCACTTGCCCCCATCTTTTCCCTTGTTTGGGCATTTTCTCTCAGGAATTCAATGACAGCGAGGAATAAATTACCCAGCTCCCCTTTTCTAACTGATCCCCATTTCTTTAACTCACGTTATGTCTAATAATCCCACTGCACATAAGAACTCAAGCTGGGAATAGATGGGAAAGCTGCAACGTACAGTGCATGGCAAAACTTCTGACCTGATTAGGTGACTGCTTTTCCGACCAGAGGGATTATGAGTGATGAATAACAGACCATGTTACTGGAGCACGGACACAAGAAGAAAAGGCTTTGCCTAATCACAGAATCATAGAACGGTTTGGGTTGGAAGGGACCTCAAAGATCATCTAGTTCCAACCCCCCTGCCACGGGCAGGGACACCCTCCACTACACCAGGTTGCTCAACGCCTCATCCAACCTGGCCTTGAACACTTCCAGGGATGGGGCAGCCACAACTTCTCTGGGTAACCTGTTCCAGTACCTCACCACTCTCAGAGTCAGGAATTTCTTCCGTAGGTCTAATTGAAATCTCCCCTCTTTCAGTTTAATTTCCCCTATCTCAGGGGTTGTGGGCCCACCAAGCTCTTGGGCTGGCTTTATCTCACCTGAATTTGTGTCTCTACAGCACAGATGTAAAAATCCAAGCAGGTCATCCCCCATTTAAAACCAAAAGAGAGAAAGAGGGAGATGGAGAAAGTGATTTTTCTGCCCTATTTAGATGTCCACTTTGGGATGAGACTCCAGGACTTCATTGATGCTACTGGCCTCATCTCCACGGGCTGCAAAGGAGAGACAAGCTCAGAGGGAGACATCCCCATCGGATCATGGTACACTCAGCCCACGGCAGCCAGTCTGTTCGGGAAGAGAGCAAGGGCTGTAGGGACACGGGCTGCAATGGCCAGCAGTTATTAGACATAATTGGCACACGGAGTCAGCGCTGCAGATGCCTCGGACACAAAACCATCCCAGCCCTGAACAATGTGTTCGCTGCGCCGCACGGATGAAGCTCTGCCTGCAAACAGTCCTGGCTGCGCGGGGCTTCCCGAGGGAGTAGCCGGTGCAGACAGAGGCATGGAAAAGCCAATATAATCCACACAGAGGGAGATGATTATTTCCCAGGTACATTTTTTATGTCTTTGTTTTTATTTATTGGTAGGCAGAAGGGAGCTGTGCAGGGGACGGAGGAACTAGCAGGAGTTGCGGACACCCACTGAAATATTAATGTATGATCCAATGTTATTTGCTGTTCTCTACATTTCTTTTTACAAAGCAAAATAAACTACATTTTGCAGTTGTCCTTCTTTTTAACATCATGTATCAACACACTTTTGCTGCATAGGATGCTCCAGCTATGCGATTTACCTCTTTCCTCTAGATTTTTTCTGCATTTCCTCTGATTTGCAGATGGTTAGTCTCTATTTTTATAATAAAAAGCTGTACTGAACAAAGCTGTGCTTCAGTGCTGTTGGATTCCAGTCATCCCGAATGGGATGGAGGTGAGAGCTTGGGACAGAAGCCTCCACCTGGGACCAGGATACCAGCAGCTTAATCTCGGTTCAATCCTTCATCCCATTGCAGGTCTGAAAGGAGGATTGTGTGAGACTGAGATTTCACTATAGGAATCACTGAGAAAGGATTTAACTTTCCAGGTTTCTCCATAAACATTTGGAAAAGCACATGCAAAGTCCTTGCTCATCTTGATGTAAAGTCTGCAAAAATCAGTCATTAACAGAGGCAAAACATAGCTGAAAACTGTGACTGATGAGAAATCTTGTCTCCAAGCGTCTGGTGCATCCTGGTTGTCTCCTCCTGAGATCGTTACAGTTTGCTGGTGATCACAGCTTTACAAACAGGAGCTCATCAAAGGGGAACGAGCAGTAGGACGGGAAACAAGAGCGAGGTCTGTCTTGTTCGCGTTCACACTTTGCATCGTGAGCATCCTAAAGCCACGCTTCCACGTGCCAGCCCAGTGCCGTGCTTCCTGGGAGACGAGAAGACCCTTTTATAAGAAGCGGGAAGTAGATGTGGTGCAAAAGACACAAACCACTTTTATTTAACAAAGAAAAGTGAAGATGCTGGTCCCCAAGCACTCCTGTTCCCTTCCCATGCTTTCCCCCAGACCTTAATTTTGCTTTATGGTTTGTGATGGCA